GTCTTCATATAACTATTCTGTGTCTTCATCTCAGTACTGTAGTGTGTCCCTCTTGGATAACTCAAGCACCTGCCAACACTACCCAGGCTGATATACTTTCATCATGTAAAGTGTTACTCCTAAGTCACCACTCCTCTCACAGTGAAAAAGATATGACCACCTCTAGGTTTACTTACTCTAACAATGTTTCATGTTATCCACCTGAGTTCTAGTTCTTGAAGTTCTGTTTCACCTTATAGATCAAAATCCATTAATAAGTGGAGGATATATACCGTATACATACAGAATCAATATAACGCTAAAAAGGAGTATTTACGAAAGAGATTTCTGTATGTTTTTTTTCCACAACAATATCCGTGTGTGTGTGTGTGTGTGTGTGTGTGTGTGTCTGTGTGTGTGTTAGTCCTCTCGGCATGACTAGATGAAGTGCAATATACTTGGTGGTCATTAGCTAAATTAGAATCTGCAACACTAAAATACACCACAACAACATTACGGAAACACAGCTTGGAGGTGTTTATATCATATACCTAATTCATGTTAGAATTTATAAAACAGAATTTGTAAGGGAATTTGAACAAAACTCTATCCCGGAATTAGCAGGAAATGGAAGCCTGTTTGAAGGGTGGAAGTTATTCAGAACTCTCTCACTCTCTCTCTCTCTCTCTCTCTCTCTCTCTCTCTCTCTCTCTCTCTCTCTCCCTTTATCACCCTCCCTTACTATTTATTCATTGTTCTCTCTTTGTACCTTTCTATATTGTTATCCCCTTCTCTCTTTTTATGCCTTCTCTCTCTCTTTATCCACCATTCTTTATCCTTCACTCATTTTCTCTCTCTCTCTCTCTCTCTCTCTCTCTCTCTCTCTCTCCGTGTACACTACCTCCCATCAACAACAGCACTATAAGAGCGTCCACCCACTTGCCATTTCAAAAGAAGAAGGAATTGAATTAAAGGAGTATTCGATTAAAACTACACCTCACCGTCCCCAGTTTACAGAGTGACAGGCTGAAAAATTCTCAAAATGTAAACAAATTTGGAAGATGTCACCGTAGAGTGTGGGGGGAGGAGGAGACGCACTCCACCACCGACCTCTTCCAGCGAAAGTAAAAAGAAAGAATGTGGAAAGTTAGCAGCTATAAAGATTGAATTTATTTAATCTCAGGACCCACCCCTCCCCCCACCCCCCACAAGGAAAAGGGGGGGGGGAGACGTGCGGAGTGGGGACTGTGTATGTAAGGTAAATGTGTTATATATATATTCTGATTTGTTTTAATTTTTTTATTTATCTTTAAAAAAAATGAAAAAAATATATCTCTTTAAAATATCTGCTACGTCTCTCTCTCTAAAAACTGTTACATTTCTCTCTAAAACAAAAGGAAAGTTACAAACTCACACGTCCCAAACTAAAAACAAAAATAGAGTTTTATTTCTCTAGTTTAAACTTATCCGAAAAAAAGAGTAAATTTATTGCAAAACTGAACATTAACTGAGCAGACACAAACCTTGCCCAGGAACCCTTACCATGACAGGGTAAATATCGAACTACTGAGGCTGTTACTGTATATTAATGTAGTCACCCCTGAAAACTGTCTCATTTCATCGTTTTCTTTAACCCTCAACATGACTTACCTGTTATCATTGCACGAACCGTTACCATGGCAACAATTTGTTAATTATAATGCAATTTATGCCAAAAGTTTATCGTATGAACCTTGTCAAATGTTGGTCAAACCTAACAAGTTTGGACCAAATCCACAAACATGTTCTCGAGTTATTTGAAGACACACACAAACACACACAAAGAACCCAAAGCAATTTTAGATTTTAAGATTCCCTCGTTATATGTTCCCCCCAAGATATGATTTAATTGTATCTCAGGATGAAAACTTCCCCCGAAAAAAGAGTAACTTTATAAAAAAAAAGTATATATATATATCATACATAAAGCATCGCATCAAAAGCTCACTCTAAAAAAAAAATATTGTTTAAAAATTCATTACAGGGGGAAAAAAATATTAACTTTTTAAAATATCAGGTTAAAGACGGCACTAAGAGCGTCCATTGGCTGAGCTTGATAGCCCCCAGACAGGGAGGATATTTCTTTAGCCATCATCATCACTTGACTCTAACACGTAATGTCCGGAGGGGCCGCCCACGAGGCCAGACTTACGATCACCAGGACTGCACACCATGTTGCTTCCTCTCCTTCTACATTTTATTTTTATCCTTTATATTTCTTCTTTTTTATTAGGAAGTGAGTCAATTATTCAGTAAGACAGTCAATCACTATAACAGTCAATCAGTCACTAAGACAGACAGAAAGACACTCAGTTAATTTATCAGTCTGTAAGTCATTTATTCGGTCAGACAATCAATCACAAAGTCAATGAGGACAGGCATTCATTGAGCTGTCGAACGCAGTTAATACATGGGCATGGCGTCCCAACTCGAGAATACAACCACTGAACTTGATGAAACTTTCGAAACTATAAACTGGATCTAAGTGATCAACCGTTAGCTTATATCAAAACATATTGTGCCATTTGTTTCCTAGTTTGACATTTGTGCCTTTTATTCGTGATAATTTTTTTCTGAGCACCAATGTCCCACTTAGCATTTTGAGTTCCCCTCCTCGGCCCCAGGGAGAACCCGGACACGCTATTTTTGGGTTACCACAATAAAAAATATACACGGCCTAAAGTACCATTAAGATTTTCTGTTTACCGTAAAACAACTACATTATTTAGGGTTTTTTAGAGCGTCTGTATTCGGCTCAGTAAAATCCCGTAACACAGGTTGGTGCTGCCAGCATTGAGAAGCACTACATTGAAGAGTTTCTTGGGGAGTTGGGACATCCTCAAGACAAGCGAAGCACGGGTGAACAGACTTAGATATGGTGGCGACAGTTGAATATTCTTATCCGGGTTCGATTGGGGCCGAATATTCAGATAAAATGTGCGTCGTACACCCGCCTGCATGTATCGATCAGCTGTCGCACGGGTTGAGTAAGGATCTTATCTGGGTGACGCCAGAGCTTTGTCCCAAACTGTCGAACAGTAATGAAAACCGGGCTGATGTTGACAGCGAGGAATATTAAAAATTTCCTGTGTTCTAAGAAGGGTACAAACTATAATAATAATAATAATAATAATAATAATAATAATAATAATAATAATAATAATAATAATAATAATAAATTATGATAATGATGATTACAAAAAGAGTAATCTAAGCAGATAATATCAACCAGCCGTAAACCTAAATATTTCCGATAATCATGAATAATTCTAAACCCTAATTAAAACCTAACTATAAATCTGAGCCAGCATACAGGTAATTATGAAAAAATATAAGAGCTCATTACACAGGAAATATAAGTACACCTCAGTATACTTATGAACGAATATCATAAAAGGTACTGGAGCAGTTATTATTCTTGTGAGACTTAGTGAATGGTGCTTCATATCTCTGGCGACTGAAGCACCTTGAAAAATAATAATAATAAGTATATAAAACTAAACCAAGTAACAAGAACAACAACAACAACAACAACAGCAATACCACCAACAACAACAACAACTCCAACAACAACAACACCAACAACAACCACCTACATTATGTAAATTAAAACAGAAGTCTATTGTGATAAGTTACAAAGTTATAAAATTAACTCAGGCAATTAATACAACTGTGGCACAAGTTAAGCCACCGCCTAGTTTTCTGTCCTCATTAAACAAAACATTGAACATTAATTACCTGCAATACGACACCTGGGATTTTCTCACTGGAAGGGCTGAGGAGGAGAGAGAGGGAGAGGGGGTGAGGTAAGGTACAGAAGGAAGAGGAGGTGAAGTGAAGTGAAAAAGGAGAGGAGGTGAGATGAATTGAGGGTGGAGGTGGAAGGTGAGGAAGAAAAGGTGAGAAGGTGAGGTGAAGTGAGGTGAGGTGAGGTGAGGAGAGGTTAGGGAGAGAGGGGAATGAAGTGAGATTAAGGGAAAGAGGGGGAGGAGATGTGGTGAGGGAAAGAGGGGGAGATGAGGTTAGGGAAAAAGGGGAAGGAGGTGAGGTGGGTAGAAGAGTGGGGTAGGTGAAGTGAGGGGAAGAGGGAAGAGGTGAGGTGAGGTGAGGGAGATAAGGGAGGAAGGGAGAGGAGTTGAGGTGAGGTGAGGTGGAGTGAGTGAAGTGAGGTGAGGGAACAGCTCCTTGTTGCGTTCGTAACTACATTAATGGGTCTGATAGCCAGCAGCTCTCAGTCATTACTCCAGGCGTTAATCAATTGTCCTCTCCTCGACTGTAGAGGCTTAGGAAGATAGACCAGTCGCAGTGTTGCACGTTCACCCGTCTGGCCGTCTACAGATAAATATTGTCCGCACCATAACTTGAGTTCTAACAGATGTATTACAACCATATTCCACACACAGGTTCTTGACACACAGATAAAGATCCCAATCAATCGTGGTCTCGTTTGGATGGATAAACCACACCACTCACGGCTTAACTATGAAATTACCATAAGTACGATAGTCAATTATGTAGAATATTTGATACGCTGTGAACTAGTTAGACGCTTATTATGACACAAGAGGATTATGGTTCTAACTCGGAGATTTAACCAGGATGTCCTCCCCGTCTCCTTACATAGATACGGACGGTCCATGCTGTCCTACTCACGTAATCCTTTTGGTATGAATAATTAAGGACGTGTAAGAGGAAATTATGGTCACTCACACGAAAAAAAAATATAAGGTCACTCACAGGATAATTTATGTCACTCGCTGGATACATAATAACACGACAGGAAAAACAAGTACATCTTACAGGAAATAAACATTTATCACACACACACAAAAAAAATGAACAAATATGGTTACTAACAAGAGAAAACTAATTAGGGTCACCCACGCTAAAAAAAACTCTAACACACGAGTAAATTACGGTCACTCACAGGTAAATTACGGTCACTCACAGGTAAAGAGAGGAAAAAAAATTCAGGTACTCACTTATCCCTCAGGTTGTAGACGCCGCCGTACCCACCGTCCACCTTGAGCAACCTGGCCATCAACTCGGCGCCCTTGAAGACGTTCACTATGAAGAACTCAGCCGGGTACGTCTGCTTTCCCTTCTTCTTGTACACTCGAGTCACAAACCCGTAGAACACCACCTGCAGTAGGACGAGAGAGAGAGAAGGATGATGAGGATGTTGTAATGTGGACGACAAAGAGAGAGATAAAGAGAAAAAAAGAGAGAGAGCGAGAGAGATAAGAGCTCACAAGGAGGACGAAGATGGGTGACGCTTGAAGTGGACAGTCCATCAGCGTGAAATAGCATCCGTCGGTAACACGATAACTCAGCGAGGAGGTATTTCAAGACCCGGGATTGCGAACGATGCCTCCACGTCATGATAACAAAAATTGGAAGACGAGATCGTAAAGTGAATAAGTGATAAAATGAGGTGTTGGCAAGACGTGTCGATAAACAGAAAGACACTGAAAACAACGAGGAAGATATACCGGTATGTAAGGCTTGTGTGTGTGTGTGTGTGTGTGTGTGTGTGTGTGCTGTTTAGAGAGGGTTAGATTAGCTTATAATTATTAAGTCAGATTAGGTTAAGCTCGGCTAGAATGATATATATATAAGGTTATGGTAAGTTAAGAGTATGAATATGTTATGATATGGTAAGGGAGGTTAGGTTAGGTTAAGGTTACCATAAAAGTATAAGGTTTAATTCCTTTTAGGTAAAAAATGATAAATCAGGTAAATTACCTTTTTAGAAGACCAACGAGTGAGAGAAAACGATATTGGAGGCAGAAATATCGTGAGGGAGAAACTGAAGGATGATGAAGCACAGGACGTCGTGGTGAGGGAGGCAGCGACACCTAGTGAGGAGGATGGAGGAGGCGAACGTGACGAGGTGGAAGCAGGAGAGTGAGAAGGTAGTGTGTGTGTGTGTGGACAAGACGGGAGGATACATGGAGTGTGATAGCGTGGTGGTGGTGGATGGAGGTGGGTGTGTTACGGATGTCCTCGTCTTGGTGTCAGTGAGCGAGGACTCTCCGTGTAGGTGAAATACACACCACTTTGGAGACTGTCTCCTTTATTCCATTTAGTTTCGTCGCGTTTTGGAATAAATTTTCTATCGGGGTGTGGTTTATTTCAAGACGTCCCGGCGCATCTTGGAATAAATTGATCTGCAAGTCGTGTTTGGTTTATCCGCTACTCACCCACAAATTCTTATCCTTTATACAAATAAATGAATATGCCATGTGATATACACTGATGCCCAAATATACATTATCTCTGAGACATACTGCAATACCCTCGCATACACACACACAAAACCTCTGTGGCGAGAAAATTATTATCAATATGTCTTGGTGATGGCTGTGTGAGCGTACTTCTTCGGGCCTGTCACCACCTAGCCGAAATAAGGACCGGACCCGGACAAGGAACCGTACCTGTATTTTTCTCACACTTCAACCACTGTTTAGGTGAGGTTAAGTTAGATTAGGTAGAGGGTCGAGGAAGAATTAAAATAGACGTCACCACACTGAATTGGAGTCGACCCGTGGTATCCTCTGATGTTTATCCGTTGTTCACTTGGTGTTAATCAAAGGAACAGAGCAAAGACCAATCTATTTTAGGGAGAGGGGAGAGAGACTTGTATTCAGGAATGAACATGAGAGAATACCACGGGTCGGAAAATAGCTATAACAGGAATCATATATTCTAAAAAAAAAAAATCCTAACCCAAATTTTCGGTATCAGGAAAACTGGGGAATATTAGGAAAACAACAACGTTTCCCCTCAACTGTTACAGGTAAACCCGCTGTGTGTATTTGATCTTTATTAACTGGATGATATTTGTAAACACGCAGTTGTTGACAAAATCCCCAGAGGCACATGAACAGGGACATAAACACACAAACAAACAGGACAAAAAAGGTTCGCTCTCCGTGTACACAGAAAATGGAATGTAAGGAATAAATTGTACAAAATATCTGTTGAGCATCTGTCTTGTGTGGGAGTGAATCAATCGTTATTATTTCTAGTATCATTTCTTACATCATCATCATCATTAATGTTAGTTGACGCTCTGCAACGTTTTCGCTAAAGATTTGTCATTTCTCCTCAAGTTAATTTATTCAAAAAGGTTAAAACTGAAGGTTGGAATCACACATGGTAAAGGAAACTCACTCGGACCCAAAACCACACTTAAACCAAGATACCTTTAAGTTAAAACCACCCCAAAACTAATCTAACCCACTCCTAAACTAACTTAACCCTAATTTAACCGCATTTCTAACCTAGTCTATCTTTAAACCTAACTGAACCTGGTATCTTTTTAAGCACCTACTTAAACCTACCTTCAAACTAAACTAAACTAAACTAAACTAAACTAAACTAAACTACTCTTACTTTATCTACCTGAATCTACGGTACCATGAACATAAAATAATCTACCTATAACCCCTAGCTTTAGTATGGAAAGTCATAGTCCTGTTTCAAGTCCGGGTCAGAGTTGTTTTGATTCAAGGCACACAGCCGAGTTGTCCAGCCAGCAGTGTGAGACAGTTCTCGAGTGCTTTAATATGCTGCCTTCAATAGTCTCTCCTGGATGGCAACACAAACTAACGTCCATGTTGGCAGAGAGCTGGAGAAGGTGCGTCTGTTATTACTGCCTTAAATGATACATAAGACCAGTGAATGAGAATATTGGTTATGGACAGTTTCCTCAATGGTGTTATTTATTATGGATGAAAATGTATTCATAGATGCCTCAGTCTTTATGTGCCTCAGGTCTAATGGAACCCAATCTTATGAGTTTCAATCCAAATGGTTACGTTACTTTATTTTAGGTGCCGATTAGAACATAGATGTATCTAGCCTGGGGCCACTCATCTCGCGTTTATGCTCTAAGGAGTGGAGATGGTATACCTTATGACCCACGTAAGGGACCGCTTAGTGCTTACAGCCATCTCTGAGTATTGGTTTGTTTGAGTATGTGACTCTAGCCCACACAGCACGGCCATCAATCACATCGTCCTGGAGGCCATCTGATCAATCAGGGTGTTTGTGTCTGCAATCTACATGCCTACCTGACCAGCGCTACCTGGCTGATTAATTGAAAGTTTGAAGGATCTCATCACGTTCTCTGTTTAAATATATTCCCTTAAAGGTATATCTTGATTCCCTTTAGGATATATGTTGATTTATTAAAGGACATATTTTGCCTCCTTTAAAGACATATCATGATTCCTTTAATGGTAAATTTTGACTATCGTGTGTAAATTGTAATGCGTCCCTCTTGTCTTTTCCCCCACCAACGTAGATGCTTAACGTAATCGGTATGAGCAGTGACGACCTTTGTCCGTAGTGTAGTGTAGCTGTTCCATCGACCATCGTGTATAAACGCCTAACAGCACAGTACACAGGTCGAGATAGTTCGAGTAAGGTGAACAACATCAACGTCAGCTGGGCATTTATAATTATGTGTGTAGTAGTTAAGTTTCTCCTCAAGGAACAGTTTCATGTTACCCCACCCCGGACCCATAACCTAACCAAATCTAACTTATTCTAACCATAAATTGAACTATACCAATCAAAATTAACCTGACCTAACCTAACCCAACCATAACCTAATGTAATCTACCTTTTACCCAAACCGAGTCTAAACTGCAACAAACCTTCCTAAAGCATAACCTAACCTTACAAAATCCATAGTTGAAAGAAGGAAAATATGTTCAAATCTGGGTCTGTGTCCAGAAATTTGTTATGCACTTTACCAACATGAGGCAAGGCAGCACTCGTCTTCTGACCTAAGAGTCCCTGGTTCGCGCGCCGGACACACTCAGTCAAACCAATGTGCAGTAAGGGATATGAAGGAGGTCGAGTGCAGTGCCGGACTCCTTGTGAACCGAAGGCTTGGTATGTTGAGGGTTGTATCCGTATTACCGCTAACAAAACTATTAAGCTCGTGGGACTCACTTTCTCCTTTTACATAAAAAACTGTAATGTTACACTCTTACATATCAAACTACAATATATAGCGTTCAAGAATATCTAATGTAGTTGCTCTATTGCCTGAACAATAACAACTCCTCGTAATAACTTGTTTTCCAACACAAAAATTGTGAGATTTAGAAACTCTTCCCGAGTAACATAGAGGAAAGTAAGCACAAAGGGAACACTTAAATACATGCTCAAAGGAGAACTGTTCATCATTCTTTTACTATCACGCATAAACCAAGATGTTGTGGAACTGCAGTAGAAAAAATTACAAGACAAAATACATTAGTATGATGAACCAAAGGAGTTGCAACGCAGTTTCGTTCATACTTCTCCAACTCTCTCGAGGAATGAATCAAACCCGAGCCTTTCAAAAGTTCGATCCACTGTGACTCCGAGTTCTCAGTGCCCCGAGATCAAGAAACATCACTTCAGAAATAGCACCAGCGAATGAGTCCAAAAAATGAGGGTCAGTGAGAGTCCTACACATTAGGACTCTCGCATCTCACCCTTCACTGATGTTGTGTGAGGCGACCAACCAGCTCAAGGGCTGCAGGGTAAGTCGACCTAATTCCAATAGTCTTTAATCTTACTAAGCCCCAAACTCACCTTACAAAATTAACTTAATCTATCCTAACGTAACTTAACCTAAGTTAAACTAAACTAACCTAACCTAACCTAACCATCACTCCTGTAACTGTCATCAAGGTCGTTCTCTTCATCTCCTATACCTTCATCTTTATCCTGTCTTATCAGCCCTCTCCTCCCGTTGTTCTCGTCCTCTCTCTCTACCTCCTCCATCTGTCATCTCACCTTGTTCGTTATTACTCCCATTCTCCTTTATCTTGTCCTACTCTCCACACCTTCCCTTGGAGTTTGTTTATAACCCTTTCACTCCCTTTGTGTCTTCGTCTCTTCCCCATTTTCCTTATTTCCTCAATCTTCCTTAACCGTGATTCCTTCTATGCCTCTCCCACTTCCCCTTTTCCCCTTCCTCTTTCTTCTTCGTCTAATCCAATCCTCCGTCACTCCTCATTATGATTTACGCGTCTCTCTCTCTCTCTCTCTCTCTCTCTCTCTCTCTCTCTCCAAACTTCAATCTAGCTCAACCCCTTTGACTGAGCTTCTTCTTTATCCATTGTTCCCTCCTCCTCC